CCGAATGATATCGGCCCTGAGTGCCTTTTCTAGAAGCGATTTTAACTCCTGGAAATGTGCCTCGAAGTCATGAATGTTCGCCTGGAAGGCGCATAATTCAAACTTTGAGAAGAACTCCTGCGCTGACAGCGCTCCCATCTGCATCGCCTGTAAACGGTCATAGGCTTCGGCTTGCTCGTCGATTAGGAAGTGCCTGTCTAGGTCTTCCCATAGTGTCTTGGTAGTCTGTATCACGGAGTTTTCGTCCGCGTCGTATTTCTTCATGAACGTGGCGACATATTCGCCCGCGTGTCCACCTTTCATGTACGACAGAATCATAAGGACTCTGTCGAATTGCTCTGGTAGCCGCTTCCTCTGCGTAACTACATAGAGTTTCATTTGGGTCTTCCAAGCAATGTACTTGGATTTCGTGCCGTCAAAGGCGTCTGGCTTCATCGCGCTTCCATTGAGGAGCGCGGCGCTATCTTGGTTCTCGGCCATCGCGCCGGGATCGGATGGGGACGAAGGTGGAGTGGGAGAGCGTCGGGAAGGTGGTTCCGAGGCTTCTGAATCTTCTACCGCTTCTTCTACGGGGTTTGGCGGGCCCTCTGGTGGAGCTTCGGATTCTCCGAGGGCAATTGAGCGGAGGTGGTCAGTGACCGATTCGAGAGTATCCCGTCTGGTTCTGGGTTCTGAACCGGATGCTACGGGTTGTGGGACTGCGAGGGACTCGGAAGGTGCTCCTGTGGGAACTCTTTGTAGCAATTCTCCACGTAATCCTTCTCTACACCGGGAACAACAAGTACTATTATCTGAAGAGTGTGGACACGGTTGTTGCACGCAGTATCTTACGTTATCGCCGTGTAGATAGATGGATGTTCCTTCTAGTTCTCGGTGTACGTGTCCTCTACAGTCACAGGAGGGCGTGGTCATAGGGTGTCGGGTCCGTGAAGCTGGTTGCAGCAAACCCTGGGACTAATCGTGTTGTAACGACCAGATCAGGGGTAGAATTTGCCAAAGATGGGAACTTCCGAATAAGAACCGAAACGCTAATTGTAATACAGTTCTAGAGATACTGTAGCAGCCCAAAGAGCAATTGTGTCTCTTCGGTCCGACGCCCTCAAAGGGATCGTCGATCTAACTGCTACCGCTTTTCCGACGCCCGGTCGCAACCGGTTGCCACATCGTACTCAGGAATATCCACTTGCGCTGCGCAAAGCGTTTAACACCACCTATGGTAGGGCAGTGTACGATTCTAATGGGACGGAGCTCTGTCTAGCTGCCTAAGAGCTAGTGATTACAGAGGTGGCTTCGGGGATGTGGTATGGTAAAAGTTTGTGCAAGTGCACGGAAAAGGGTTCTAGGGGTCCGGGTCTTGATGCGGTAGAATGCGATAGGGTTAGGAGTTAGGGTGAGAGTCGGATGTGCGTATGGGGTGGATCGTCGTGTGGAGATGGGTGATGGTTGGTGTGGGAGTGACGAGGATCGTCGTAGGGCAGTTGGTGGAGACTCGAGCTAATGTCAGCAACTAACAATCCACCTGGACTGAGCTACGACAAAGCTGAGGAGACAGACGAGAGGAGAGTGAGTGAGGAAAGACCAGCTCGAGTCTGGCTTGTTATTGAGCAGTACAGGCTCCTTATATACATGTCAGACTGAATACCTAGAATATCCTACGAATATACGGAGGTGTATAGAAAGTGAAAGAATACCATGGAATCCGGGAGAGCCATCCGGATTGTGTAATATTCATGACACCCTCGCCGCCAGAATCACCTTTCCGGGGCCTCGTGACGACACTCGACCTGCATAAGCGAACATCTCTCTAAGCCAGCAGGGTTGTAATTTCACGCGCGAGGATCTGTGCATGGTCTGGCCTGGTCTCGCTACTTGTTTAGACCGCCACCCATTGTCGATCCGCACAATTATTCTACCTACCACTCACCGCTCGGTAGCTGCCTCGATTTGCCGACTCCAAAATGTTTTCGAATGCAACGCTTCCATATGTACCAAAGTAAGGCCTGCGCGCGGCCTCCAGTGAGCATTCGTAATCACGAGTGCTCGACGCCGCACACATCCGACGAACTCACCGTCATCGCGCGCGACAACATCGAGGTGAACATATCAGCGGTGCGCAACTTCGGGCGGGAGCTCGCCACGCTCTCTGAATACGTATGCCAATCGCTTGGCATTCTTGCCCTCGGACAGTGCTCGACAGGAAAGCGCGAGGTAGATTCGCTTTCCTGACAGGTTTGTGGGCACCATGGGCTTACTCTTTATCTTTAGGGACCCAAGGCCCTAGGCGATGCGCAGAAGATGGTGCTGCAGGCGTAACTCTGCATGACGTTTGCCTAAGGTGTGTGTCATTCTGTCCACACGCACGCCGTGAAACGTGACAGCTTGGCTTTGCAGCTTGGCTTTGCAGACTTGCTGGCCATCCTGCGTGGCATGAGCCCTGAGGAGGGACTGATCGTCCTATCTCGATGACCTGGATATTCATACAAAGATCGGTGGCTGGTTGTCGGGCTACCGCACCGCCGTAACCAACGTCGCGCACATGCTCTTGCGCGCGCCAGCTTTCTGCCTCACCAAGAGGTGCGCACACTGCGTCGTTTTCATGAAACGCAATCTGATACCAGAGTAGGCCACCGTTCACTCCATTGGTCCAGCTACTAATCCTACCGAGCGCTCCGTGAACATCTCTCTGTCGCCTGGCGGATATGTAGAGCCGCTCCAACCCGCGACTATTCGCGACCTGCGCATCCTTGCAAAGCTAACCAGGTCATATGAAGATGCACTAGGAGGCTTGACGGACAACCACACCGAGGGGGTCCGCGTCGGACGTCTCAGCCTCCTCTAGAGGCCCGCCCGGACATTGTCATTTCATTTGTTACTTTTTTCTGGCTCCTCCCAAGTACGCTTGTCCATTAGCACTCTAACAATTTATGCTCGCTCGCCCGCCGCCCCCACTACTCTGCATGCCGAAGGCATGGATCGATCTTTGAGTCATAAATGTCCGTCCATCGACCTCGAAGGTAATGGTCAAGCCTCTCAGTTGTGAGCGTGTTTGGAAGTGGAAGTTGTGTATTTACCCTCCTCATAAATATCAATGTAACACCCCTCGTGACTACGTGATACGGTCGCATCTGGCATAACCGTGCGCCGCATGTCGTGAAAGTGTGTGTACGGTGTGGGTGCGACTGCCAAGCTCGATACAATCTTGTTCACTCCACAGCCTTCACACCTCTCGTCGAACAGTTGCATTTTTGTAACTCCTGCTGAATAGCCATAGACATGAGAGAAAAACGGGTACTCATCGTGCAAGACATGCTGAGGCCGGATCATGCGCCAGCGCGGAGAAGTTCAGTGAAGCGACGGTCGAGTCAGCCAGGTTCTAGCAACGTGTTCGAGTAAAACACTATATTGCCTGCATCAAGAAGTCATAGATGGACCCTTCTTGCGCGCAATCATTATCAGACGCAGCCTGGGTGCTGACTCGGAGATTTTCAGGGTCGAGATGTAGGATGTGCCCCTCCAGTCCGTGATTCAGCGCACAGCGCTCATCGGCGGTGCTCGACCACAAAGACATTTGCATGAGCCACTCTCCGCGGCGGTGTGCCGTACAAAAATCCCGGCCATTCGATAGGGGCAAAAGCAAACCTGCCCAAACTTGGAAACCGTATTGATGCAGGCCGGGAACAAACTATGGCGCCCGCGGATGATATAAAATGTGGCGCCCGCCTTGTCCTCCTTCGTTCCACACCACATCAACCCTCCCGTGTCGCACTGTTGATATTGCCTTCAAACCTCGCCTTCACATTTTGAAAAGTGCGTCGTATCGCTCAGACTACCCAGTCACTTTTACAACGCGTCTCTGAAACCAACAATAAGGCCACATCGCTTGTCTGTCCTACGACCTACGCCTTCGCCACTCGCACAACAATCACGTACAAGTGAATACAACTCCCAAAGAGCAACCTTGCTGTACTCACAACATCGACGCGTCGCGTGCAACCAACCGCCCCGCAATCAGACCACAATGCTCCCGAACAATACTCGCGCCACATCCCCCGTCTTGCCAGCCACAACGTCCAGACTGACGGAGCTGGATACGTCAATTGCGTGGCTCGATCACTGGCTCGAAAAAACCAACGGCCCCGCATCTGATGCTCCTCCCGGGCTCCGTGGCGTCGCGCAGCGGGACCGCGTCGACATGAGCGACCGACTCGCTGAGAAAGAAGAGGAGCGGGACCTACTGGATGCCGAGCTGTTCGACTCCGCGAGCGACCACGATGGTTACGCCACCGAGTCCGACATCGAGAAAAACGGCCAGTCCAGCGACGACGAGAGTGGCTACGACGGCGACGACGACAGCGACGACGCGCATGGTCAACTTCTGCTCGTTCGCCGGCTTGTCTCGCCGCCGCTCGAGCACAATGAATATCGCGTCGTGAGCCCTCCACCAATATTCTTGCAAAACCGAGGTGAGTTCCGCTTATCTGATGTTTGATCTGGACAAATACTGACTCCCCTTGCGTAGCTCTAGCTCGCTCGAGTCCTGGACAGCCGTCACATGTTCCCGGATACAGCGGCCAAGCACCCAGAGACGACGACGTTCGACAAGCAGCTCGTACAGTGGTATCTACCGCTGTTCAGTTCGCGTCGAAAAGACCAACAATAAATACAACTGAACAAGGCGCCGGCTTGTCTCGCAGCCACCACCCCCAATACAACGTACCTTCGGGACGCGCCGACCACGTCGTGGCCCCACTCACCACAAGCGGCTACCGGGACGCTTCCGAGAAGGAGAGCCGAAGGGGGAAGAAACGAGCACTGGAGGTCGAGGAAGTCGAGGAAGAGGAGGTCGATGAAAAGCCCCGGAAGAGGCGCGCTGCGAACAAGGAGAATGTTGCCGCCGGATCCAGCAAGTACGACGACGATAACGATGGCCTTGAGAGCCGCAGGCCTCAGCGCAGCGCAGTCCGCCCATCCTTCTGCCACCCATCTCGTTATGTGGAGAACCGCGACCGACTCCGTGCGGCAGGTGCTGCCAATGTCCCGCCTGCCACGCCTGTTGCTCCGCCTGCCCCTATTCCAGCCGCGCCCGTTGCTGCGCCGATTCCCGCGATCGCCGTACCAGCCGCGCAGCCGGCTCAAGGTGCCTTCATCATTATACCACCTCCGCCCGCCGCACCAGCTCCGCCGGCTCCTACCTACCTCCCGCCAATCATCCAGGTACTCGCTGATCTCCCTAACCCGCCGTACAACATCGTGCTGCCTCCGATCGTCGCACATCAGCCTCCGGTCATCGCAAACCAGCCGGCGACAACGCAGAACCCCAGGATGCAGCTGGGCTTCATCATGATGTAGCGGCCCGTGATCCCCTATCCAACATAGCGCAGAGAAATAGTTCTGAACTGGTCCTGAAATGTGTAAAGTAGTTAGCCCCCGTCTATCGATTCTTTGTTGCGTACCTCTGGACGATTAGTCTTGAACTAGGTGTGAGTGGGAGCCGAGACAACATTGGCTCGCCGCTGCCGTCTGCGCCGTCGTGGAGAAAAGTGGTGACTCTCGTCACAGCCAGGAGAGTGAGAGATCTGGAGAGTTGTAGCTAGAAGCTCGTGAGCGGGAATGCGAAGATTTTCGGTAGCGTCGTGGCGTTTGCGATCGATCGGGGTCCTGGATGCACGTGACATTAAGGCGCCTCGGGAGACCGCTTTGGGGTCTAGGCTCACTCTCACAGGCCTCCTATGCCCATCGGATGAGTGTGTCCCCGGCTAGGACTGTACACTCACCTGCTATACAGAATCTTTATAAATGGTGCCTTTTTATATATATCTTATACTAGACAAGGTCTGACTCCGCTGAAAGTTTCCACCAATGCCAGCGGCAGATTGTTGATTCGCTTGTTCATTTTTGGAACTATAGACGGCCAACCGACCAATCATTTATCATAGACACTTACCGGCGATAGCGGCTCCGCAGACTCTACGCACATGGCCTCGACTTGCCTGGCCAACGGTGTCGGGCAAGCATGAATGGCCGACTCGCTCGTCTCTCGGAGGGTTCTGGGTTTAGCGGAAGAGCATCGCCTATGCCATGGCTCCGAGTCGCGTACAAGACTTGCTCAAGACAACTGTCATGTCATCAGCATTTTGTGGCACACTCATAACCACTCCCATCCCTTCGCCGCGTGACCCACGCGTGTGAGGCGAGAACGTGCGTGAGCTCCGTCAATGATTCCGTGGACGCGTTCTGACGCTGTTCGTCCCAAGCAGAGGAGTTCCTACCCGAGCGGATGCTCGATAGCAGGTTCGAGGTGCTCCCGGTGCGTGTGCTCCTCTTATAGACTGCGCCAGCTGCACGCTCATACTCTGCCGCGCCAGCCTGACGCGTGGCAGCCATTCAGCTTCGGCATGCGCGCCTGCATCGCACGCACCAGCTGCTCAATGCCTTCATGTGCTTTGCTGACACGCCGCGCGGGGCCGGTCGTTCGCGTGATAGGAGGTCCAAGTCACGCTGTTCCACCTGACGCAGCGCTTCACGTTCTCCATGCACGATCTGTCGTACGCTGTTGCAGACACTGACGGTCAAGTTTCACGAGTTTTACATCCACGCGATCCTGCGCACGGAACGGCCGGTGGACGCGCCCGTGTAAGGCATTAGCGCAAGATCTGGGCAGATGGCGGTGCAGCGAGAAACGGGAGCTCGGAGGACGTCTTCTATAGACAAAGCAGTTTCAAACATACCCGGCGCACTGGCAGTTCCCATTTCTCTGGATCCCTTTTGATTCCACTTTTGACTACCTCGAATGTTGCTTTTTTGCGTTCACGTTTAGTGCCATCAGAGTCATATGCTTCAGTGTGACATACCTCTGGCTAACTTCTCGTATATTCACTGAAAATTTATGTGGACCATTCCAGCGTACAGACCACCCGTATACTCTTGGGCTCCTGCAGGTACCGCCAGGCCTGGACGGCGCGCACGGAATACACCATCCATCTTACTCGAGAATGCTAACCGATGCCGTGAGCGGTATCTCGGAGTGCTAGACGTCCCGGGCCTACAGCTGGTCATATTGGCAGTACCAGTGAGATGAACCCGAACAAATACTGTAGTTTTACGACCGTAGCGGATGTCACACGTCACAGGACCCTCATCCTGTCCGTTATTTCGCCTCTGTCACATGTCACAGAGGGGTCCAACCGGTTGTGACACTGTACAGCGTATCGCATACTGCGATGGTTCGTGCAGGCTCTCTGCGGATTCCAGGGGCGAAATTTAAAATAAGATCATTTCTCGCAAGGTTCTTAAGATGAGCGGGACGGGAGAAACCTGAGATTGCGCAGCTCAACGAGAGTTGTACGAGTCTATGACCCACCTATAATCACGTTGCTAGGCCTTTGCACGCTGATCGCGACACTTGCCCACGTCCCAGCGCCCAGGTTGGGTCAGAGTCAATATGATCCGCCCCAATGCTGCGCTTTATTACGAGAGCAAGGCTTTTCTTCCCCCCATCCGGCACAAGGTAGTCACGATCGTCTCGCGCAGTAAGAACTTTGCTGCGGGTATTGGCGCTCGCAGGACTCATCTGGAATAAGCATTTCTGTTATTCACGCACGACCTGGATCTGTGATCCTCCGGCAGCCACTTAGCATCGTGCGCTTAGTGACCATGATGTCGAAGCCGACAACGAACTTCATCCGACGCTGATGGTGCTGCGGAAGAGTCAGGTGTACTCACAGTCCGCTGAATGACTCGGCACATGCAGCTCTTCCCGAGAGGCTCTAACCAAGGCTGCACCGAAGTAGATCGACAGCCCACAGGCAAACCAAGCGGGCTGCTGCGGTACGCCAAGCTTCCGCCCGACGCGCACAGCTGAGGTGCTCAAGTACGCCCATTGTCGTTTGCATTCAGGATGTTGGAACAGCCTCTGTCATCAAGGCGCTTGAGCCTGCTGCGGATGTGATGGCGCGTCGAGGGATTCTCGGGTCCCGTTCCATATACAAGTACCCTTCCGCTTCTCGGTCACCTCGTCCTTTCGCGCCTCATCACAACCACAGCCCACAGCGCGCAGAGGTCTTGTCTGCTCGTGCGTTACTCAGGCGGCTGTATGAGTCTGGGCGCTCGTGACTAATGCGGGCTATGTCAGCACGTCTCTTCCAAAGAATCCGAGACAGCATCCACCACCATGACCATCCTGCAGCGTTTGAGCTTGCCACGCAGGCCTGCTACTGCTCCCACGGGCAAGATACAGTACGTCTATGAGTTTTTCGTCTTTCGTCGTCGAGGTTGACGTCTCTATCCCTGCAGCGAGATTTCGCTGGAACCGTCTCTCGCCCGGCGCGGCATACCAATCAGACAGAGAGCACTGATTGCAGCGCAATTACAGCGGAACATCCAACGCTCTTCATCCAATCAAACTCTGTCGGCACGTCTATCCATCTGTACAAGACTTCCTCTGGAGCTCCTCGGTGAAGTCTTTACCCACCTTTCCGACGACAAGCCTACGTTGTCGCAATGCAGCCTCGTCAGCCGCGCGTGGTTCTACGCCTCACGTCCACACCTCTTTCGGAAGCTCGAAGTCTCTTGGATCTCCCTTGCAAATATCGCCGGGTGGGAGCGGTCGTACATGCCCGGGAAACACGAGGACTGGGACGGGTACTCGCGCCGGTGTCGCCAGCAGAACTTTGGGGCACCGCTGACTTGCGCGCTCCTGTGGTTCCTTGAGGAGACGGGCGAACTCATACGCACGAGCGTCCGGGAACTCAGCCTCGTCGGGTGGCAGCACGACGCGTGCCAGCTCTCGCTGGACGACGTCGACGCGCTGATGCAACAACTTCCGCTGCTCACGAAGCTCTCGTTCACGCGCACAACGCTCCGCTGGTCCGAGCACGACATGCTGATTGGCCAGCACGGTGCGCTGCGCACGCTCGAGGTGCGCGACAGCCTCATCTCGGGAAGCTCCGCCTTCGCACTCCTCTCGCTCTTCCCGCACGTCGAGGAGCTCTTCTGGGACGCGTATGATGACCCTGACGAGTGCGACATCGAGGGCGACCTACTCCTCAGCGTCCTTGAGCACTTCACGATGCGCCGCCTCAAACGGATCGACGCGGGGCGGTCGCTGTACCCGCACCACTCGCCCGAGGCCCTCGCGCTGCTCGTCCAGGGCATGTGCATGCGCGGCGTGCCGCCCAACCTCGCCTGTCTCGAGCTGGACGTCCTACTCGACGAATACGATGCGGACGCGCTTACAACGCTTTTGGCTGAAGCCGGAGCGAACCTACGCGCCCTCCGCATAGAAATCGGGTGCATGTACCCCTCGCGAGGTGCGTCGAACCGAGCTTTCTCTTTCGTGCTGTCCTGCTTACCTTAGCACTACGCTAGTTGTCCTTCCGACCTCGCTCGGCCTGGAGTACTGCACGGGCCTTCGCGAGCTCGAGCTCAGTCTGCCGTCGTACTGGATACCGGGCGCGCTAGAACTTGTACCAGGACTCCTAGCCGACCTATGGACCGACAGAGACACGTCCGCCGGCCTCACCCTCGTACTGCGCTTCGATTCCGCGTTCAACGACTTCGAGTCCCTCTGTGTCCTCAATGAGGATTTGACGTGGTATTTGGAGCACGGCCTTTCCGCCATCAAGATCCGCCGCAGCCGCGCTGACCTGAACGAGAACGAGCGCGCCTCGGTGATTGAAACGCTGCGTCCCTTCCACGAACACGGCGCGCTGCTGCTGTAACTATGCCGGGCACGACGGCCGAATTCTTACGCACGGTCGCACTGCTACATATACACATGTGTCCATTTCCACTCTTGGAAGTCTCCCCTAATTCGCGTCGAGGATTCTGACGACGCCTGTGGGGCTCGCGTCAGCGCTCGCTTCATGGGGGGCCCCAACATACACCGGCTAGGACAAGGAGGAGGAGACGTACCAAATACCTCTTCGACGCGTCCGTGGCGGCCGAGCCGGTCCTCCTTGCCCTCATTCACGACGACCTCGTCGCTGACATGGGGTGCGCCAAGGAACACGTTGCGCGTAGGCGTGCGCTTGAGCTGGTCCATGTCCGCGCAGATGACCTCGCGACAGAAGAGGTCGAGATCCAGGTCGCCCTGCGCACAACGCCGATCAGCATCGTCGAGCCTACCATACAACGACAGAACAAAAGGGCGACGAACCTCATCATACCCTGCGGGAAAAGGGTCAGCGGAGAGATGCGAAGGGGCGGAACAGAGGACGCACCGAAGGGTTGTTCGATCTCCTCGCCGGCTGCAACGAAGCCGAGGTAGATAAACGCGGCGATGCCGACGCCGGGGATGGTGTACCACCCGAAGAGGTCCAGGAGCTGGAAGGGCAGCGCGAAGAGGTAGAGCCACACGGTGCTAGCAGCGAAAGAGATCAGGGGGAGAGGAAATATGCACAGGGCAGATAAAGGGCTTACTGTCTGCAGGGCGGAAAAGGGCACAGCTTCTTAGCTGAACCAGAAGAGGAGCGGACGAGAGGCATACCTGATGTGTACAGAGAACATGCTGCGACAGTCTATTAGCTGTGACTATACACTTGCAATAATAAAAATAGGCGCTTACAATGGCAGCGGGGTCGTTAGGATCTTCTCTGAATCTTTGCCACAGTATCAGGAATCGGACCCAATAGACGAATGGTGTACTCACTGGCAAGGCTGTCTTCGAAGGCGGAAAGGCTGCCGAACATGCCACCGAGGGTGTTTCCTACGTGAGAAATCGCATCTAGTCAGCGGCCTTCGTGTTAGCAAGTGAATGCGTACCAGGAACACAGTTGCGCTCTTCGCACACGCTCAACCAGACCGACAAGCACCGTACAACCTGGAGGGGCACATTTTCCCCTCCGCCCGCGATCTTGGGCCGGTGTTTCGCGTGGGTCCAATAGAGCCGCTCGCTCATGCCGCCCAGCGCATCCGCCTCTTGCATCTGTTCCGCAGTCTCGACATCGGCCCCCGAAGGCAGGCGCGGGCGCCGCTTGTTGCGCCAGGAGCCAAACCACGCAGAGATCTCGGAGACGACGCCCGAGAAGGGGATGAGGTCGCTCGAGACACTTGAGACGAGGCCGTTCTTTGCGGTCGAGGTCATGCCCGGCAGCAACGGGCTGTGCTCGTCGGGATCCGAGTTGTGCGAGGACACAGAGGCGTGGCTCGAATGACCGAGGTGACCCGAGCGCGCAGAGTGCGTGGTCTTGGCAGAGCCATATCCGTTAATGGGCGGGGTAACCGGGTCTGAGACATGCGCCGGGGTGCGGATGGTCACGGCAGTCTGCCGCTCGGACGAGCCAAGCGGTTGGGTGGGGTGTCCGGAGTGACGACTGTAGTGCTGTACAACAATCAGCGCACGAGAAGAGCAATTGGCGAGGAACACGAACCTCGTGCAGGGGTTTTACAAGATGGTACAGATCTCGGTAGTATATTCCTTTTTCTCCTATAGGAGATTTTAGCTTGGCTTGTAAATGACCTTCAAAGTTATAACGTACCTCGCAGGTGGTGCTTCAGAGCAACAGAAAACCTAAAATATCTGTTGGGGGACATTGTCTGACCAGAAGAACAAGCCAGAGACGTACGCTTCAATCAACTCTAAAGCCATACGTTTCTCTGCCATAACGCGCTGCATGACCTTCAGCTTTTCCTTTTTGACCTTGGCTTTCTGCTCCTCGTTCTGCTCCTCTCCGTCTTTCTGTACGTTTTCGATTTCGAGGGGAACATGGTACCACACGAAGCGAGCGAATGTCCGTGACTGACGAATCACATCAGCCCAAACAGAGCGTCCTTGCCAGTATCTGTCATATCTGCACACCACACACTGAGTTCAGTGTGCTTCCCGCAGAGAATGGAGGGATTCGTACCCTGACATGGCGCGGTATGAGATGACAAAACCAATAACGACACCTGCAATTTGTCTGTCAAGATCGTGTCATCGAGCTGGAGCCGTCGCGGCGCACCAAGTAGCGTAAGTAGGACACTGGGTATGTTGAGCCTGATCATATCGAGAAGAGACAGCGTCACAACCACTTCAAGATATCAGTCATTGTAACGAGGGGCGGTGAAAGTATATCTCACATCCTGCGAACGCGGTATGGAGGAATACAGCGGGCCAGATTCTCCAAATCTACATGCGTGTCAGAGCAAGCAGGGGAAAGCGCGACCTGGAGAGCCACTCACCGCGGTTCCTCTTCCAAAAGTCCACTCAAGGAATGAGCGGTTCGGCACCAGTGGAATGATGATCTCATTGCTAGTGTTCGCCGCTGGAAGGAGGGTGTGGTGTCCGGTAACGCTCCTTTGGGGCATAGGTCCACGTTAAAGAGAGAAACAGTACAGAGTGTTATTTAGATGTTTAATAGCTGCCAAGGGAGCGTATCGGGGTGTAGGTGATGGTCGTAGACGAAGCAACAACGGCATTGCAAGACTTATTAATATTGATTGGTCGTTGATGTTCGAGGGAAAAAGCGTGAGAGAGGTTGCCGCTCACCACACCGCGACTGTTACAGATCACGACAATGACGCAACATGTTTACGCCCGTGACCGTGCTAAAATGGTCGGCGCGGAAGTTAGAATTCTTCAAGCTTCATGCATCTATGTACTTACCAAGTGATCTTCCCCGTGACACTAGGGGCGCGGGAGGCACTGGCATGTTGAGCAGCCGTAGTATGCGCGGTACTAGAGGTGTAAGCCGTATTGCGGATGTAAAATGGAAGGATAACAGAGCGAAACTAGCGATTCGCCTCCGTCCTGTCGGAACTTTTTCTCCACAAGGTGCGCAGTTTCGTGCATTTGTCGGAAAGCATGGACAGATCGGGAAATTGCAACAGAACGACAGGCGCGGCGCAAATGCCGGTAAGTGCGATGTCCTGACCAGGGCGGGAGGCACATTCTTGGGCCCTGGTCGTTGTGGGAGCAACTGTACATATTTTGCCGCGTGTGACGTTCAAACGATAGTCCTATCTGCAGAGCGGATGCGATTGATATGTTGTCAATTAGCGGCGCTGCTGGTAGATGTGACTGTTGACAAATGAGGTTTTTTTGGGAAGAGACCCTGTAAGAGAACGCGGAAAGAGAGCTTAGCAACAGGCTGTCAAAAGGCCAACCGAGATATGTGTGGCATTAACGCGGATCAGGCCGCGCCATGCGAAGTGATTGAACCTTGGGTTTGCCCATAAAATTTTGAACCTCGTTGCCGCCTTACAAATCCTAGTATCAACTTCATCGTGAAGTCTGCTCCTGAAGGCGAGTGAGTATTTTGAGATACAGCTACAGTTTTTGACTTGTTCACCTAGCATCAGTCAGGTTATACAAGCTCAGGCTGACGATATGGCTCTTCCGTTCGTCCCGCAAGAACTTGTCGACTGCATCATCGAACAGGCGCATGATGACACCTCTGTGCTGGCACGCTGTTCACTCGTGTGCAGCGCATGGAGGCCGACGTCGCAACGCCGGCTATTTTACAGCTTAAAAATCGACCTGTCCCAGCGGCCCATTGCTGACACGATCGTGTTCTTTTCTTCTTCCTTGAACGCAGAGTCCCAGGGAGGGCACCGGGCCCCTATCACACGCTATGTCCATTACTTGGACATACGGTCTGCAGGGAAACACGATGAGCTTCGTAAAATTACCACAGAGCACTTGTCTCGAATTATAGGCTCTTTGCCGCATCTCAAGGCACTGACCCTAGAAGCACTCCGCGTCCGGCTCGACCTTGGCCAGCTCCCGTGCAGCAGCCAACGGCTTGAGCGGGTGTCTCTCAAGGACGTCACTGTGGAATGCGGGGCTGGCAAACAGCTAGTAGCCACCTTGTCGACGCTCTGCAAGCTGCGAGCCCTACACCTCTCGAATGTGTCCTTCGGGGACCGCGACGAGCCCGGGGTCCACTCTGCCGTGGACCTGAAGGACATCGAGACGCTTACGCTGCGCACGACGCGCTATATGCCTCTATCTCTCCTACCCATGTTCTCGCGCGGCGCTCTTAGGAACCTCGACGTTGCGTGTTCCTCGCCAGATAGCGTCCATGCGCTGGCCGCCTTCCTCAGAACCGCCGGCGGTCGGCTCGAGCACTTCTCCCTGGACCTCTCCAGGTTCCTCGCGAAGAGAGTCCCTGCCAGTACGTGCGAGCATATTCGGCAATTGGGCATCCATAGACTCACGATCATTGTAGCATTCGAAGATGACCTCCGGCGCATCTCGCTTGGCGGCTGTCGCGCGCTGACCGCGCTAACTCTTCGCATAACATTCCTCGCCGAGCCGTGGTCAAATCTCCCCTTCAACGGCATAGGCCTGGACGCCGCCGCGCAGGTCCTCGCGACTGCGCCGCCTGGCCTCCGCGTGCTTACGCTCGCGCTCGCGCTCGACGGCGACACGGCCGATGTGAACGCATTCCTGCGTCCAATGGCGGCTTGCTTCGATACGAGGCTCGCGTGGCTGCAAGGGCTGCATGATGCCCGGCCGAACCTGTGTGAGCTCCGCTGGTTGTGGTGCTATGCACGAAAGGTCGGGAACCCGAAAGCATGGCCGGTCAGCCCCAAGCTCAGGTCAAGCTTGTCGAAGCTTGTGTGGAAAGGGCTCTTGGAGTTGTGTATGAAGGGCATACTTATGTTTGTAGATGGAGACGAGGATATCTGGGGCTAGCTGGTGAGTGCATTTTGCTGTGGTACGTATAGGTCTAACGGGGGCAATACAGAGTAAATTTGTAACATTTCGCTTTTTTCTCCTGAGGCTGGAATTTTGTGCTCAATAGGTTAACCATAGATGTATCGCAGCATATGCTATCCATGTTGTTAAGATACGATACATCTACTGTAGTTGTATGGACTTGAGACTAATCATATTGACATTCGGCCAAAGTGGATGCTAGACAGTACGCTGAGTTCTTCGCCAGTGCACATTTACCCCTCCATCTGACCACCATCAGCAAGTCAGGTGTCCGGGACAAATCCAGTGTCCCATGGTGTAACGATCAATATAGTCGTTTACAATCATTGCGCCTCCTGCTTCGCTTCAGACAACCCAAACAGTGCCTCGGGCAACGTTTGTTCGCAGGGCCCGAGGAAGAGAAAATCTGCATCACTATCCCCCTCTGTGCGCTCAAGATTGAACACGGCGACTTTGCCACCATTCTCGGCGACCTCACTGGCGTAGCTCGCAGCTGGATACACCTAGGTGCGCAGCATCGCTGTCAGAGGCGCCGTCGCGGAAGATGCGGAGGAGTCGCTACGCACTGTAGAGGACGTGCCAACGACGAGGCACATGTCAGCTTGCGCCACGACACCGTCGATTTGCTCCATGTGCAGAGGTGTCTCTCCGAACCAGACGACACCTGGGCGGAGGAGCCCACCACAGTCCTCGCAACGCGGGAGTTCCTCAAGTGGTATGTCGGCAACCTCTTCTGTGTCGACGCCACTCAGCGTGTTCGGGTCTGTTGGCAGTGCACCTGTTGCAGCGAGCGCAGGGCAGAGGGGTGCCTCGTCCTGGTTGGTAGAGCGGCGTCCGCATGAGGTGCAGATCAAATCAAGAATGCGACCGTGCATCTCGTAGAATGGCACAGCTTGTGAAGGTTCTTTGCCGGCTTTTGCTGCTACTTCTTTGAGAGCTCTTGCGCTCAGCCCATCGACGTTTTGAGTGATGAATGTCTGCCGTGATAGAGTGGCTATTTAACACGACCAGTGTAAGGTAGGACGGTAAGGAAATGCTGCATACAAACTTGGCCTCGGGGGCGATCTCCCTAAGAAAGTCAGGAAAGCTGATCATGGATATGGCCACATGCGCAGCATTAGGCCGGGAAGAGAGAGCTCTATGGACAGGATGGTAAATGACTAACACGAAAGGCGATGTCGAAGAATGCGAACTTCATACGTCTATAATGGTAGAACTGCCACACTAAACTCGGATTCTCTTCAAAGGCCTCCGGAGTGGCAAGGGACATTGCATTATATTTCTTCCAGTACCCCCCGGCTCCTCTAAAGGTCGGTATACCTACGGGGAGCATCGAGTCTCACCCTGATTGCGCTATTTATTGTGATACAAAACAAAATCGCACCAGAGGCAGCAGAAAGCCCGGCTCCTGCAACAGCAATGATATTCTTGCTTTGTTTCAAAGCTTCGCGAAATGCTGTGACACTGGTCGACGGAGACATCTGTGAGCTGCGGGATAGCTTTCGAGTCTGCGCTGGGACAGCCGAGAGAGCAAGCGCCCTAGGAGGACAGCCACTCGCGGCTGGTGCACGGGGTCCATGCGTCACCCCCGTCACCAAGCATCGCTGCTCTGGACAGCGGTCAATCTTCGCCTGAACGATGGCTTTGTCCTTTTGTTCGACAAGACTGGCAAGCCTAGGGTTTGTGGCCAAAGAGTTTACTGTTCTGTATGGAACTCCTCGCGCTGATCTAAGATCGTCGGCCACGGGGGCAAGAGGCTGTGCGGCCCCGAAGTAATATAAGACTGCCCCGCCGTTACTCTACGTCAGCCCACCGCTTCAACACCATCGGTATGCTGCTCCTTCAACAGCTGTCAGATATACATACTCATGCCCTGTCTGTTAGCTCTGGCTGCGCTGCCTCTGTGTCGTTCAACAGCATCCTTGCGTCATCGATGTCCATTGACCTTTCGCCAACGCCACAGTCACCCGCAGACACCAAACTGCCCGAGGACCTTGTGAACATCATCGTCGACCTCTTTCAAGACGATTCGCATGCTTTGAAAACGCTATGCCTCGTCCATCGCGCCTGGCTTTCCAAGGCTAGGAAGCATCTCTTCCGCGATATTACGGTGCAGTACAAAATGACGTGGGCTTTCGGCACGAAATCTATCCAAATTCCTGGCATCGGCGAGAAGTCCATGGACAAGAGCGCACCTAACCAAGATCTGTGGATGTCTCTCTTTAGTGCGTTCCTCGACTTCCTGACTCGGGCGCCGACTTCGATTACAGAAAGCATTCGGCAGCTGTCCTTGCTGGGCAAGGACTGGTTCTCTCGTGAAGGCGATAACAGGACGGATTGGACGGCAGAAGAGTACCAAGCCTGGACAATCTCCCTGACCACAGACGCAGTACACACGCTCTTGCGGCTGCTACCCAACCTTAGCGAGCTACGTCTTCACCTTGACCTGCACCAGTCTTCCAAGACGATCCCTACGGATCGATTCCACCTCCGAACTCTCAGCCTCGACTGGTGTTTGGCGTCCACGGACTGCATCTTTTTCCTCATGTCCCTGCTTCCAGAACTGCACGAGCTGCTCTGGGCAGTGTGGGAGCGTACACCGCAGAATACGCCGCTCCGGCTTCTGAACGCAACACAGCAACTGTTCAAGGATGCTGTCGCGAAGCTGAAGCGACGGCAGCTCCTGAGGCGGCTCAGCAGGGTCGTCGTTCGGCGCGAGCCGCAGCAGATCCATGGGGCGCTTCTGGAGCTTCTCGAGGCTGCGTGTAATCTGAAACCAGATGAAGAACGACCTGCGATTAGCCTCGACCTGTGCATGGCACTGTCCTCGAAGGACGACGTCGCACGGTATCGGCGATTGTTCAAGAATTGCGGCCACTACGTGACGCGTCTTACTGTGCGCCCTACGCGTACGAAAGACGATATCACCGTCTTCAAGCAGCGTAAGCGTTGCGATCCGCTCTGCGTTACGAACGCACTTGCTGAACGAAGTCCGTAGTTATCCAGGAAGACGTTGGCTTGTCGTACTGCAATCGGTTGCGACGGCTGCACCTCGATGTATCCATCTACTGGCGTACAGGAGTCTCCATCTGTGTCGAGGAGGTCCTTAGAGACTTCTTCAGAGGGAAGCATAGTCAAGACAGTCCCGAAAGCGTCAAGTTAGTGCTGTCGTTGGATCACAGTCTCGCTTTCACCTTTGGCTCGGAAGCGACGTTGGAAAATGTCGACGGCATCGTCACTGAGTATAGGAACAAGTTGCGCGAAGTGGTGGTCGCCGAGGGGGGTAATGTTCCGGACGAGGACAAGCAGCAACAGGTTATTCTACATATGCCTAGGCTTGTGGAAGCTCGCCTTTTGTGCTTCTGATATCATAAGAGCTAGTGTCTAGCCGCCTTCCTTCGTTACCGGGCTCTTCATATCCCGGACCATCTTTGGTGTCTATACGAACAATGTCAATATCTACAGTGGTATGATGCACTTTAATAACAGGTACTTCATAGACACAAGAATACTTTGTGTTGTCGATATAACGCATTGAGCATCCCGAGGGCCCAGCCTGGTCTCGGTTCCAAGCGAGAGGTGACAGGATGCAGCGGTGACAAACCATTCGTACTGATAGTTGATTGGCAGACTTTAAAATTCCTGAGCTTTCTCTATAGCCCTCTTTTGAACTCCGAAGGCCCTTATTACAAGTCTCTAAATAATAGCGGGTTGAACCGAGACTAGGCGTTACGGCGTACGAATGATGATACAATAGATGTTTACAACGCGGGACCGTTTACATGTCGCCGCCGCCCTCATCTCCGCTCTCCCACTGGTCGAGATGCAGGCCGAGCTCGCGGACGCTCCCGACGGCGATGAGCAAATTATGGTTCGGGTCGAGCGTCCGGAGCATCTTGGACATGTCCTCAAGCACGAAGTCCTCCATCTCTTCTGCGAGCATGAGGTCCTCCTTTTCGTCCGCGAGGTCTGCGGCGGGGCGGCCTGCGCGCGCCTTACGGTGATTAGCGATGCTCTGGAGCTGGTGTTTTGTCACTTGGATGATGCCGTCGTGCACCTCCTGTGGGAGCGCCTGCGGCCCGCCGACGACGCGCATGCACTCATTGAAACAGCGGAAGAGCGACGAGAGTAGCGATACCTCTTCTTCGCCGCCAGTGCAAGTGATCACCTGCGTGAACGATGCGTTAACCATGTGCGGCGTCAGTGTACCGCTGTTCTTTCCGCAGGACAACAGCATCGGTATGAGCCTGCGACAGGTCAACTTAGGTCTTGCGTACGCTCATTGAATTCACTTACAGGGATGCGGCCTCCTTCACGCCGTCGTGAAGCATGTACTTCAGCCCTGGCAGGGCGAGCTCTAACGTCTGTGAGAGGTACGGCGCAAAGCGCGGGCCGAGCGTTGAGCAGTAGATAACCAAGGTTTCGAACGCCTGGCACTTCTCCTCAAGAGCAGATGTCTTAATACCAATCTGCTTTCCATCGACAGAAATGGTCTCCCAACCGTCGCGCTCCTCGACAACATCATCATCGAAGACGTTCATGTCGGTCTTGGCGCTAGCAGCTTGCAGCAGCGGGGGCATCACCACCGGCAGATACGGCTCGAACTCCGGGCCCATTGCCTGGCACACCTTCGCCCAGGTCGCGATAAGATAGTGGCCGAGCAGTGAGTCGCTGTTATCAGCAGGCGTATCTGCCATAAGCGCACGATTAGGTCGATCAGGCGCACACAAGAGACGCTGCGCACGTACTCTGGATGCGGATAAGTCTTTCAATGAAGGTATTCGCATCCGGGCGGAAGACATCACGGCCGACGGCAATGGCTACGGTTAGGCAATGCTTGAGCATTCTCAATGCGCACGCACGATAGTAGATACTTACCGATGAGACCGGCGCATTCCATCGCTTTCAAGCGCAGCTTCGCGTAATCCGGGCCATCCGCAGCCTCTAACACGCTCAATAACAGGGGCATGATCTCATGATAATGCTAGAGGCTCATTGAGCGGGGAAGACTCTGGATGAGAAGGCGAAATGCAGACGAACTTTGGCAAATGTAGCCTCGCTCGCGTCGGCGACCATGGCCAGGGTCGTGATGGCCTGCTCCTGGACATAACGTTTCGGTGGCTTCCCGGCACCGGGTCGGAGCAGCTTCAAGAGGCGTTCAACGATCGGGTCAAGGTAAGGAATGAGCGTATCTCGTTCGACGCCTTCACAAAAGTTAATGAGGGCAGCTGCCGCATGGGCATGAACTCTAAGACGAAAACGTGAGTGTTGCGCAAATCGGGTGGCTGAAAGAGAGAGACCGTGGTTCTGGTGCTTCCAGTGTGGGAATTAAGACGTTGAATAGCTGCTGATGATAACGGGCTTGAATGATCTCCTCCAAGTCTGTGCACAGCTGGCCGCTGTCAGACGATTAGAAATGCATGTCTTCTGGAGGTGATTAACCCGACGTACACGCATTGACATGCTGCATATCTTACTCGTGGATGAGAGTCACGGAAGGTCGGGATCACAAGCCTAGCAAATACAGGCTTTAAGAAAAGCGAGATGACACACCGTTTGAAGGTACTCACTCGATGACCTTTCCGAGTTCTTTCTGCATAAGCTTGGACGTGCCTTCCGCTATCGCGGCAATAGCCATGAGACCCGCATGTCGTAGTCGCCAGTCATGGCTGACGAGCATGCCGGGAATGTACTGGAACGCAGGCGGAAGCACAGCTTTACCACTGAGCGCAATCGCTACACGGTCCAGAGCCTGCTCGTAAACATGTGGGTAGGTGTCGTCTGTGGGGTCGTCAGCTGGCTGAAGAGGTACACGTCAAACGATCTATCCGAAGAAGGCTTGCGAAGTGACACACCTCCGCTTCCAGCCAAATCTCCATGTCGTCCTCAGGGATCTCTCCCATGCCCTCGAGACACCCTCGGACAACCGCGGCCGTCCAGCCATCCACCCGCCTGACCATACTCGGGCGCGCCTCGGTCAGGCTGACCATGAACTCGAGGGCCGCCTTGCGTACCTCTGTCGTCTCCTCGTCCTCGTCGTTGGTTGCCAGACTCTTGCCTTTGACGTCAGACGGGGGAAATGTGAATGTCTGCGAGTCTGGATTCGGCCGGGCGACGGTGGGCGTAGGACCCGAGTCCACCGAGGGTAGAATTAGCGCTGGCAGGAACTTCAGTAGAGCTGATAGGTGCGCCTCGAAGAGGGCTGGGTGTGACGAAGCGAGTGGAGTTAGTGTGCCAAGGAAGCCTGGAAGATGGGCGTGGGGCAAGTAAGACAGCGTGTTTAGCATCGGGTACAGCAGCGATAGTGATTGCGCTTGCTGAGGGAGGTCGGAGGCAGAAAGATAAGCCACAGAAGCTCTGAGGGCAGCATGGCGAACCTATAAGGAGTGGTCAATACATGTTATTGAAGTTCGCCTGCTAAAATGAGAGGAAGAGCGATGCAGTACTCTGACGAGCAATGCTCCAGCATTCCACTCGGTGATGCGCGGACATGGGCGAACAAGAAATGTCTAGTCTTCAAATAGGACACGATGGCAGGGTAGGGCTGAAGGTGCAGAGTGAAGATAGCAAAAGCCGCGCTTCACAGCGCATATTGTGAAGCATAGCGTCTTCAACACGCAGTATACGTGACGCTCGCTGATTCCATCTTCGCCCATTCAATGATTATCTGAAGATGGTGATAACTGCGCAGCCACATCCAGATAACTCACGAGCTCGTGGAGGGTCGCTGGCAACACTGTCCACATGTGGGCATGTTCGCATGATGACGAGGACAGCGGCGAAATTGGTGGCTTGAAGAGGGAAAAGGAGAACGAGGATCGGCGAACACTCACATCAACACTCTGCGGGTCTTGCAAGCCCTTCTGCAGCATGCCAATAACGGAATCCGTCCGCAGATCCATGATGAGGTTGGGCGAGCCTGCGAAGACACGGTACGCGTTCTCGCGCGTGACGGGGTCTTCGCTCTCGGTCATTTGGAATGCTTGTTGTTGCAGGGAGTGCCATGGTCTTCCACGAGACATGGAGTGGTTAGCTACTTCCGAGATTGTGTCTGTAGCTTTGCGGCGTACAGCAATGGTTGGCTCGTGCAGTAGGATGTGCAGTAGCAAACGTTCGACCGTAGCAAGCGTCTGCGCAGAAAGGTGGTCGTACAAGGGGAGTGTCTGATTTGTAGTTGAACGGAAGAGCAACCGCCGTAGTAGTACAAGCGAGAAGGACCGCATCTGCAGGCAAGTCAAGCCAAAAGCCTCTCGCTTAGCTCGAGCACGCACCATATCTGTGTCCGCAGACACAGCAAACTGCGCCAGAGCGAGCAAGTAAAGCTCAGGTGTCTGCGCGAGGCGGTCGTTGACCGCCTTCTCCGCCCTAGGGTGACATCAGTGGGGAGAGCATAGCCCTTTGGCAAGGGACATACGTCGACCGAAGCTCGTTGTCTCCGAGAACAAGATTCGCGAGAATCTGGGTCAGCTCCGCGGTGACCTGTGGCGGCACGACGGAGTCCATATTGTCGTCGCTGTGTGGGGCGATGAGGATGTGGTCAAAGTATTTTAGCAGGTCGCCTGCTTTAGCGGATGCGTGTGCTAGGAAGTGGGATCGAGATTTCGCTGATTTATTAATCTATTTTTATGCACTAGTCCCTAAGATGGCATAACACATCAAATATTCATCTCTCAAATAGCTCAGAAGACGGCAGGGCAATCAGGCCTCAGATTCCATATGGATGCTCTAGAAGTACACAAAAAAATACTCTGTGCACTACTGAAGACTACTGATAGTCCCGCTTAATGACATCACACGCTGTTGGCAAGGCACAACTCAGCAAACGACCAGAATTCCGCACAGGACGTAGGTTTGAAGACTTACCCATCTCCGCAATCGCGTACACAGTGGCCTGAGGATGAACGGCCGTGTGAATTGGAAGAATAGACAAGTCCACAACACGGATGTTCTTGGTACCGTATACCCTGAATCGCGGGTCAACGACACCGCCCTTGTCGCGAGGCATCATTGACATGCTTCCAGTCGTATCTACGTGGGCCGACAAAGTCAGTCGCCCGCCATCGTACCGACCTGATGGGTACGTACGGAAACTCGAACAAGTGTTCTTGCGAACATATGCTGCACGTCGCGACTCAAAATTTACTCGTGCGGGACTGCCAAGGACGAGCACGTACCAGATATCTCCTCGTCGGTGTTCACATTTGGTCCGGGAAGCTGTTCCTCGACAACAAGCGACTTAAATGGTTCAGTCCGGGTCACCTTGCGAATAAACTTCATTGCATCGACCATAATATCCATATCAATATCCTCCTCGAAGTAGTGTGGGTCGATCGCCGGCCATGCCTTCGGGTCAGCAGACTGGACGTGGATTGTCCCGCGTGTGAATGGCCGACTAACAAGCGAGTAGATGCCAACGTGCGGCTTACTGGGCTCCGGCGGGGGTATAGGAAATGTGGACGGGAAGAAAAAAATCTCGAAGTCGGGCACCTTGGGGTTCGCAAGCAGCTCGAGCTGCTTCTCGTACGACGCCTTGAGTCCAGGAGAATAATCGCCTTTGGCGAACTTTGCGCGCTGCTTCTGCACGAGCTGCTCAGCACGCTCTGAACCAATCTGGATGGGTACGAATGAGAAGCCGTCCTGGGCAAGGTTGAAGGAGTCCTTCAGGCCGCTATGAAGAGCCTTCAGGATTGCTGACCGGTATGCTAGCGCAAGAAACTCACAGTGTCACCCGGAGCTTCTCGGCGAACTCCCTGTCATCGAGCATGCCGAAAGTGATAAGGCCGCGGTCTTCGACCATCTCTGTATAGAACATCAGCATTACATTGGATGAACACGAAGTGAAGACTGACTAATCCGGCTGCCAATCATCGTAACATGCTCCTGCACATTTGTGCCGACCGAGGGCAAGTCCAGTTGAACAGGGATACCCAAAGGTTCAAGGATCTTCCGGTCACCGACACCACTGAGTTCCAAGATATGCGGTGACTTCACAGCACTGCAAGATCAGGTCAGCGTACAGAAAGCGCCGTGACCTCGGAAACACGTGCCCAGCAGAGACAATAACCTCCTTGCGCGCAAAGACCTTGTGCACCTGTCCACCATGTTCGAACTCGACCGCGGTTGCGACGACTTCGTCTGCGTGCTCGGAAGTAATGAGCTTGTACACATATGCATCCACCAGGACCTTGAGGTTGGGACGGTCGAGCGCAGGATAGAGGTAGCCCTACAGGCACGCTCAACACTTGAAACACGACAAAGGATAGACTGGCCACATACATTGGCAGAATATGCACGGCTCCGGCTCACAGGGTCCACATTTGCGACACCCTTCCACGTCCCAGCGATGTCGCCGTCGAGCGCCGTGCTTATTGTATCGACTCCGTTCACCGCAAGAGCCTACAGGGCAGCGATCAGCGGTGCGTTGCTGAGCCAGATCACAACATTAAAACGTACGCGTTGCCAGGCAGCGTCGGCGCCGCAGCTGTCGCGCCCGAATGAGATCGAAATCGGGCCATCGTGCCCCACGGCGTCGGACTTATACAGGTTCTTGAACTCATTCCGCTCGTTCGGGTCAGGCGGACAGAACCTTTGCACCTTCTTCGCATACTTGTGAAAGGTCTCCCAGTTCCAGCCCTCATTTCCAAGCTTGCCCACAGCTAGTGCGGTAATCCAGTGATCAGGGTTATTAAATCAGCTCGACGCGCAGGGAACCGAACCATCCATCTCTTCGCGTTGTGGCAGCTGCCATATCAACCAATTAATCTGGGATGAGCCGCCGAGACCACGACCTCTGTTCAACGTAAGGAAAGATCAAACAAGGATCTTCCTGAGTCGACAACGATATGGCGTACCTGGGGAATATCGTGGGTTCCCCTTTGAAGCCTCGTTGTGGCGTTGTGAGGTAATTCCAGTCATATTCAGGATTGGTGACGGTTCCCGTCCAACCGACGTAGCCAGCTGAGGGCATTTCATGAGTGAGCAAGAAAGTTTGGACGACAGACGCACGTACAAACTAGCGGGTCGTCGAAGTGCGCGGGGCCTGCTTCCAACAAAGCGACAGATATGTTCGGGTTCTCGCTCAGCCTGGCTGCCACGACGCAACCTGCGGTCTAACATACGGAACGTCAGCAACAAATTGCAAGGATCTTGTATTTCGTACATACGCCGCCGCCTGTAACATATTGATGAGACATAAAAGAGCGCGGTTGTTATGAGAGCGATGTACGACGCACCGGCGACAACGAAATCGAATTCTTTCCCTGAGATGTCAGCGATTCCAGCTAGTTTCTGCTCCATGATGTAGCAGTGCGCAATGTGGGTCAATGAAGGCCGGGAACAGTGAGATGCAGATGCAATGATCTCGCGACTCCTTAGTTGTATGAGTGCTTCCAACTACTTATATCAGGAAGGTCACCGGGCCGGGGATTTCAAACATCCATCAAGCTCGCAGTACTATGATGGCACCCTCGTTTATTAGTGTTCCCTGCTTTATTAATTTGCTTTTGCTACTTCAATCTGCCTCCGGAGGTGCTGGGAATATTTTTCAAGATAGCTCTGTATTCATGCTATAATATGATACCCATATCATGACATATATAAGGTGAAAGACGGTATGGTATTTTTGTAGATGCTCAGAAGCAGTCTAAAACTGGCTGAAACATGCTACTGATGGCTAGATCCAACCAGATCTCGCTCACCAAATATTCTTGCGACTACATTTATGAACTTGTGCACTTGCACTGAGCCTGGTAGGCTAATATATTTTGTTTTAAAAGTGCTAGGTACATGCACAGAGAAGGAACAGTTGTGGAGCGTTACAATGAACGGGCAAGGTGTGATGAAATTGTCACTCCGCCTGATCTCAGACACGGCAGGCAACGAGGGGCTCTCGACAGCAAGTCGCAACGATCCTACGCTCAGCAGTGCCACTGGAGGCTGTCAGTAATGCGCATGGGAAACCGGGGAGGACCTGGCAGGCCCCAGGTCCCCCGTATACATGTTCTCGCGTGTGCCTACGTGACTTAAGGTCGACCTTGGAAAGACGGCTCGGCTTCTCGGCAGCAGCACGACTCGACGGCATCTGGTGTGACACTAGTGTGACGAAATAATAAACG